CTGGGTGATAGAGTGAGACTCCAACTCAAAAAAAAAAAAAGAAAGAAAGAAAGAAAGAAAAAGATATGGAGAAATAAAACAATACAGTATATGTGGGAATGTCAAACAGTACAAGTGTTTTGAAAAAGAGTTTAGTAGTTTCACAGAATGTTAAACATAGAACTACTTTATGACATAGGAATTCCTTTGGCCAAGAGAGATCAAAACATACTTCCACAAAAACTTTTATACAAATATTCATAGCAGCATTATGTAGAATAGCCAAAAAACCCCCACAAACAACCCAATGTCCATCAACTGATTAATAGATATACAAAAAATGTGTATGTATTCATACAAACTATTATTTGAAAATAAAAAGCAATGAAATACTGATGTACTGATATTTGATACAGCACGGATAGACCTTGAAAACATTATGCCAAATGAAATAAGTCATTCAAACAAATCCATATGTTTTATGATTCTATTCATATGAAACACCCAGAATAGGCTAATCCATAAAGATTAAAAGTAGATTCATGGTTTTCTTGGAGGGGGGTGTAAAGAGGATGGAAAATTACTGCGAATGGATACGGGATTTCTTTTTGAGTATGGTTGCACAACTCTATGAATATACTGAAACTATTAAACTATATACATTAAGTTAGTCATTTGAATGGCATATGGATTATATCTTAATACAATTGTTGAAAAGAAGTGAGAGATTGGATTTCGGATCTGGGAGAAAAAGTTACTTCTGATTCTATGAACATTTCTGCTCCCCACTCCCTCTAATTGTCTCTCCTCAAACCATTTGTTTCACATAACTCATTTATTTAAAGCAGTTTGTGAAACATAATCTCATCAAGATGTTCTGAGCATCCACCATGTTCAAGACAGGCTCCCAGGCACTGAATACATAGGACTCTTTCTAGGGCAATAGAAGACAGTGGTTCAGCATGGAAACAGAAACCATGAACTGCTAAGAGAGATGACAGGAATGTTCTCTCCTTCTTTGATGTTTACCCTGTTTGGGAATGTAGGCTCAATCTCCAAGGCCAAGCCATACAAAATGGATGTCTTCTTGTTACTGGAGTAAAATCTAGAATAATAAATGTGGACAAAAAAGAAACAAAAGAAGGGCTTGCTTTCAGATTACTTAAGACTTGTTATAAAAATGCTTATCCCCAAAGTTGTTTCACCCTACAACCTTTTACCCTTTCTAAAGAGTAATTATAATAATGTAATGTGGCTCATGGAAATAGTATAATAACTTAAAAGTGTGTCCACTTGTCTTGTTTCCGGCACACTTTGAAATGTTGATATGAATCTCACAAACAGCCTGAGAGATATATTATCATTATTGACTTTTTGCAGATGAGGAAATTGAAGCACAGTAAGGTTAAGTAATTTTCTTTTTTTTTTTTTTTGAATTGGAGTCTCACTCGGTCGCCCAGACTGGAGTGCAATGGCCACTCCCGGCCACCGCAGCCTCGACCTGCTGGGCTCCGGCGGTCCTTCCGCCTCGGCCTTCCGAGTAGGCGGAATTACAGGCATGCGCTACCACGCCTGGCTGATTTTTTGATTTATTGTAGAGATGAGGTCTCGCTGCCCAGGCGGGTCTCGAACCCGCGGGCTTGGGCAATTCACTCACCTCAGCCTCCCAAAGCGCGTGATTACAGGCAGAGCCACCGAGCCCGGCAAGTAATTTTCTTACAGTTATACAACAAGTGAGTGGAAAGAATGGTCATTTGATTTAGGTGGTGGATGCCAGCACCCAGGTTCTCAGCTTTCACATTGTTCAACCTTTTACTCAGCCCAAACTCAGGAATTGACATGTTCTTCTCTTAGCTGCTCTAGCCTGAAACCAATAAGCTGTCTTTGAATCCTACCTTTCTCTTATTCCCCCTTAATTAATACTGTTGATTAGTAAGTCCTGTTGACTCTTCCTCCCAAATATCCCTCCAATGGGTCTACTTCTTTCCATTTTCATTGTCACCACACTGGTTTAAGTCACCAGAGTCTTGGTTGTAGCCACTTCCCAAGGGTCTCCATGTTTTGCCTCTCTATATATACTCTAGTCTTCTAGGCAGCACCCGACACATTATGGAACACTAAGCAACCATAAAAAATGCAATAATGTCGTCTGCAGCAATATCAATGGAACTGGAGGCCATCATCCTAAGTGAACCAACTCAGAAATAGAAAAACAAATATCTACGTTCTCACTTCTAAGTGGGAACTAAACAATGGGTACACATGAACATAAAGATGGAAATAATAGACTTGAGGATGCCAAAAGGGGGAAGGGTGGAAGAAGGGTGAAGGTTGAAAAATTACCTGTCAAGAATAATGGGTACCAAATAGGTCCACAAATAGTGGTACAATAGAAGTCCAATCTCCACCAGTATGCAATATATCCATGCAACTAACATGTACATGTACCCCCTAAATCAAAGGAAAGGAAGGAAGAAAGGAAGGAAGGAAGGAAGAAAGAGAAAGAAGGACAGAAAGAAACACATGTTAACTATATAATATTACTTATTACGTTCTGGCTCAAAACTTTCCAACTTTCCCTTTTAGACTTTAAATAAAGTTAAACTCTTTACAATGGATTGCAGTGTTCTGCACGATCTAATCTCTGACCATTTCATTGACCTCATTCCATTTCTTCTCTCTTTATGCCACAAGGGTCTCATATGTTATTTTCTTTCTGATCAAGACAAGCTCTCAAACAAGAGAATTTTCTCTTTTGCCTGTGGGCTTTTGCACTAGCAATACTCTCTGCTTGTGATGTCCTTCACTCATGTAGATTCTCTCTTCATAATCCTAGGACTTCCTGCTGAAATATCATCTCTACAGAGGTGCCTTCCCTTCTACCCACTGAAAGTAGTTTAATCTTCTCTTTCCCAGTCTCTGACTATCACACTGCACAACCTCTCCTACTATTGGTTCATTTTCTGTTAGTCTTTCTCTCTGTGGATATCCAAACTCCTTAGATCAGGAACTTTGTTAGTCTCATAGAACACAGTGTCATTAACATTTCTGATAGTACAGGTAAGCTGTGGATGTGCAATAAACACTTGTTGAGTGAACGCATGAAGTGTTGGAAATGCATGATGGGCTTTCATCTCCACATGAAAGCTTCCATCTTCCTTTTGAATAGAAACAATTTCTTGAGATTTTGGGGAGAAGTGATGTGAAAGTGAAAAAAAATACTGCACACCAAAGTAATTGTATACAGTCAATAAGTGAAACAGAAGGGTAAAATACAAGAATATTTCCCACTTTAATTTAGAAATCTAGAAGCAAGTGTCTACCACCTAAAAAAAATAAAACAAAAATAAGAGCTTCTCCAAGATTATAAAAATAAAGCCCCATTTTCTAAATTCTATTTTAAGATATTAGCTCCCAGTTCAAGGATATTGGCATCCAATTTTCAATGTTTCCCTATTTTTTCCTCTCTGTTTCTTCCCCTTTTTTTCTCTTTGATGCAACAGTACATTTCTTTGACCTATTATTTTTTAGGTTTCAAAGCTCTGACTGTATTTGAATACATGGAGTCTGTTGGGATTTATCATTAACAGCAGTTTCACATTTTATTTTTTGATGCATCACAGCATTTGCTTTTTATAACCTTGTTCTTAATCATACCTCTTAGAATTCACATCATTTTTCAGATCAAGAGCCTGCACTGCATCTAGAGACACTTAGATTACTTTGCTTGAATAAGATGACAAGGAATGTATTTTAATTCTAGTTTTTAACTTCTTTTGGAGTCATAGCCTCTTGTCCAGTGAAGGCGTGCACTCTTGTCTCCCCCATCAAGCACACATAAGAACACAATGTATATAACTTTAATGGACCCTCTGGAGCTCACTTTTGAACTCCTGGAGAGCAGTCTTAAGTATCTAAGTATCTCCACATTGGCTTACACTAGGGTCTAACCCCTAAGTATCTCCACATTGGCTTACACTAGAGTCTAGGACAGGCAAGCAGTACACAAAAGTAAACATTGCCCAGGTATGTCACAGGTTTCCCCCGTGGCATTGTCCAAAGGCTGTTCCCCTGGCTGGATTCCTGCCTTGGTCTGGCTTTTAAGCTGCTCCAGGATCATTCTCTCTACTGGTAACTCAACACCTGGTTTTCTCTGGTCACAGGATCCATGGAAAACATAAAACAAAGCAACACTTCATATGACTGTGGCATCCCAGGCAGTGCCGGCATGATAGGTAACCCTGCCATCCTCATGCTGTCTTCTCATCACAGGGAAAAGGAAATCTCCACAGCATACCAGTGTTAGTACTCAGGATCCACTCAGCTGATGACCCCTGGGGGCCCATACTACCAATCTCTATGGTTGTTTGTTGTCAGGGTATTGTCACATAACAAAGGAAAAAACCTACTTGCTTAAAGATATAAATACTTTATGTGTCACTTGTTAAATGGTTCTTATTCCAACAAAGAAGTTTATTTGTAACTGCTCAAAATCCTGAGCGAAATCCTTTTCACATCATTGGTAAAAACATTCCAAAACCAATCTGGCAATATACATCAAAATCCTTAGAAGTATAGGTAGCCTTTGACCAAGTAATTTCCTTTTTAAGATTCCATTTCAGAAGATAATATATTGAGCAAAGATTAACAATAAGGATATGAATCATAGCAGTGCTTATGCAAGCAAATAATTGGAAAAGAATGAATTGTCCAATAACAGAAAATCAGCTGATTATGCTACGATAAAGCTATTTTAACTACAATACTCTCCATGGGTTAAAAATAATGATTTGCAAAACTTAATAATTTGAAAATTAGGATAAGAAGGCGCATGTTTGGTCAGGATCCTCTTGTGATACTATCATATCCATTTTAACCTTTCCCCACTAAATTGTAGCTATGAGATTTGGCAGAATGTACCCTGTTCTCACCTCTAGGAGTCAATATGGTGGGTTTAGCCAGTCTGCTGAGAGTACCAAGGCCTAAACCAATTGGTTCATCCATATTTCTCTGACTGGAGCAGTTGATTATGCCTTGGGCAAATCAGCATGCACATCCAGACTCTTGCTTAGCAGGTGTGAAAGAAGACCCTCTCTCCCTAGATGTGAAAAGGCAAGCACATAGCCTGGTTGTCTTTGACAACCATCCCACTACCATAAGAAAGTGTAGTTGAGAACTACAGAGAAATGGATTTGGATCCCTGGTCAGATTGCACGAAGCCTGGATAACTCTAGATGTTTTTATTTGTAGAACCAATAATTCTTGCTTGTTAGTTATTCTAGTCAGAGCTTTGTTTTCTCTGCTTGCAATTCAAAGGATCCTAACCAATACAGATGCTAATTATGTAAAAATCACTTCTTGCTTCTCGTCCATAGGGCAAATAAAGATCTATGTTCTGGAGAGAGGCCAGAGGAGCTGGAGGCAGGAGGCACCTATCACTGCCATCGTGACCCCAAGCCCACAGAAGACAGAGCATGTGAGCAAGCCCATGCCATGTGGAAACTCTGCACTGCTTCCGCAATATGCTTTGTCTTCATGATTGCAGAGGTTGTGGGTGAGTCTTTCTCAAGAAGAATTTTCTGATTAAACAAACAAAACCCTGCATCATTGCAAGAGGGTTACTGGTTCTTTTTTTAAAGTAAGATTTAATATTTTTATAAGTATAAAATAACAATGTGCTCATTGTAGATAAGTTTGAAAATAGAAGGAAATAAAATACAATCCATCACCATCCCACATTTGAGCGACAGCCTCCAAAACATTGTGGAGTATTTTGTACAATACATTTTCTATTCATAGTTCACAGTGTGTGTGTGTGTGTTTTTTTCTTTTAACATAATTGAGAGCATACAGAATGCTTTTTGGCCATACCATCAAATATTCCTCAAAAACATTTTTATGCCTGAACAATATTCTTTAATATACTTCACTGTTATTTACATAACCATCTCTGTATTGTCAGAGATTTAGAAAGTTTTCCTGCTTATGGACAATTCCGGAATGAAAACTCTGAAAAAAATTCTGTTTGACTTTCTGCTTAATCCCTTCAAAGAGATTCCTAAAATTGGAAATTATTAGTTGAAGGACATGAATATTTTTATTACTTGATTCATATTGCCAAACTTTTATCCAAAAAGCTAAGCAACTCATATGTCTACCAGCTTTATATGAAAACAATTCTCTCTCCAAATCTTTACTAGAACTTATTTTAATCTTCAAAAAAATTATTAATATGTAGATGAATGTTTTATTTAAATATTTATTTCTTTAATTGTTGCTGTTAGAATATTTTGCATGTTTATTAGTAATCTGTATTTCCCACTGTTAATGTCTTTCCTCATTTTCTCTTAGTATTTGTAACTCATTTGTATTTTAGAAGATTTTGCAGTTCTCTATATTGATTTCTGGGAGCTCTTTGTATAGATAGGATGTTAAACTTTTGTTATATTAGTTATAAACACTTTTCCAGTTTGCTGTTTTTAACTTTTTAATTTTTGTTTTGACTTAGAGAGGTTTTAAACTGTATGTAGGTAACTGCATTAAACTTTTCAATTCAGACTGGTTTCTTTACTATTTTGGTGTTTAGTAATCCTTCTCTATCTACTGAAAAGACAGATGATATTTTTTGTTACTTAATTTTCGTATTAATTTTTAAAGCAATGTGACATTAGATATATTGTGTGCTCTAAAGATTGAAAATTTTTTTCTAAATATCTAGCAAAGTTTTTAGCATCATCTATGGAATAACTAGTTGTATTCCCCTTTGATTTTTGATATTTCTTTCATCATTTATCAAAACTTTACAAATAGTAGGTCCTATTTCTAAGGTTTTTTAAAAATCTGTGTTCCTAGTCCCTGTCAGGAATATAATTAATGTAGATGTATATGTTATAAAATCTGTTTGCTTCTCATGATTTTTTAACTTGACAGAAAAAAGCTATTCTTCCCTGTTTATTATCCCAATTAAACATGAGAATCATTTTATTTAGAATTCCCCTAAATCCAACTATGAATTTCTTGGCAAATAAATTAATTAGGGAACATAACATCTTTAAATTTTTAAGTTTTCCCTCCCGGGTTATATAGTATGTTTCTCTATGTATTCAATTATTCTACACATCTCATCAAAGTTTTGCATTGTTTGCCTTAATCAAGGACAGCCTATTTCTTGCAAAAGTTATTTCTGGTTATTTTATGCATTTGGTTTACTTTTCCCGGGGTGAATGCGGTCTTCCTTTTTTCATGTCCTGTTTTCTTTTTGTGTTCTGGAAGGTTTTATTTTTATTTTTTATTTTTTTGAGTTGGAGTCTCACTCTGCCACCCAGACTGGAGTGCAGTGGCCGCTCCCGGCCACCGCAGCCTCAACCTGCTGGGCTCCGGCGATCCTTCCACCTCAGCCTTCCACGTAGCTGGAACTACAGGCGCGCGCTACCACGCCCAGCTAATTTTTGATTTATTGTAGAGATGAGGTCTCGCTGCCCAGGCGGGTCTCGAACCCACGACCTCAGGCAATCCACTCACCTCAGCCTCCCAAAGGCACGGGATTACAGGATGAGCCATGGAAGGTTTTATGTTTTATGTATTCACTTTGTACCCCAAAATGTTTTTGAACTATTGGCAATTCTAAATGTATTTAAATATATTTTTCTTGTTCTCTCATACATCCTTCTGATGCCAGGATAAACCTCTCTTATGCAAAAAAATTATTTCTCCTTATTTTTAGTGGTCACATCTCTTCTGTATGTTTCATATTATTATCACATTCAACACTATCTTATACCAAATCAAATCTATGTTCAATTGTTTCATTGTCAAGCAAAATGATTCTTGAAGGATTAAGTATTTTTATTATGTTAATGGAGGATTTCTTTGTCTTAGTTTTAAATGATTAACAAATAATCAAAGATGAGTGTTGACTTTTTATCAAAGGTTTTATTTTAAATTTATTGTTTTGTAAAGCTTTTTGGTCCATTGCTGAGATGTATTATATTAAGAGATTTCCTAATATGACATAATCTTTGCATTTTTGGCATTATGATGACAATAGTTATTATTTATTCATTACTTACTATGTGTTAGAAACTATGATGAGGGCTTTTCATGTATTGCCTTAATTAATCAAGGGGAAATCCCTAGGAGGTAGGTTCTATTATTAATCTCACTATAGACAAGGAAATTGAAGCACAAAACGAAAAGTAGCTCTCCTTTGGAAACACACCCATAAGTAGGCAGGCAGTCACTTTCAGGGTTTATGTTCTGAGGTTCTAACTGTGGTGCCTCTCACGTTGACTCTGGTGGACCATTCTGTTCTTGCGTTGCTGAGTCTGAGTCACTAATATATTTGTCAGAGTTTTTATATCTTTATTAATGGTTGAAATTTAGTTATAATTTTTTTGTTTTGTTGTCATTTTTCTAGGTTCTTTTTTTTGAGGGAGGCTGGGGTCTCACTCTCATTGTCACCCAGGCTGGAGTGCAGTGGCACCATCATGGCTTGACCTCCCGGGCTCAGGCAGTTTTATCTCCTCAGTCTCCTAAGTAGTTGGGACTATAGGCATGTGCCAACACACCAAGTTTTTGTTTTTTTTGTGTGGAGACAGGATTTCACTGTGTTGACCAGGTTGGGTTTAAATTCCCGGGCTCAAGTAATCCTCTTGCCTCAGCCTCCAAAAATGCTGGGATTACATGTATGAGGTACTATGCCCAGCCATGGTTTTTATTTTAGAATTATGCAGGTTCTTATTTTAGAATTATGCAGTTTTAGATTACATAATTTCTTTTTAATAAAGAAATGAAAACAGTTTATATAACATTGTAACTATTTCCTTTTTAAAGAACTCCTTGGGTATTCGTCTGGCTTTGGAGACATTTTTGGAGATAATTTTTTGATTTTTTTTTTTTTAGCTTCCTCCTCCTTTATTGATATGCTCAAAATTTCTACTTCTTGAGTACACTTTGTCCATTTATTTTTTCTGAAGTCATTCATCTCACTGAAAATTTCAAATGTGTAATCATGCAATAGAGCATGATAGCCTCATATTGGAGTTTACGCAGTTCAAAGATTTTGATATGCAATGTCATATTAGTTATTATTTATTTTCAACATACAAAAAGAGAAGATCGGGCGAGGTGGTTCAAATCTATAATCCCAGCACTTTGGGAGACCAAGACAAGAGGATTGCCTGAGCCCAGGAATTCAAGCCTAGCCTGGACAACTTGGCAAGACCTCATTTCTATAATAAATTTAAAAAATTAGCTGGGTGTAGTGGCATGTGCCTGTAGTTCCAGCTACTTGGAAGGCTGAGGCGGAAGGATCACCTGAGTTCAGCAAGTCAAGGCTACAGCGGCCATGAGTGTGCCACTGTACTACAGGCTGGGTAACAGAGTAAGACTCTGACTCAAACCAAACCAAACCAAACAAAAAACAAACACTGTGAACTTCCTGATGTATAGGATCATAGTCTGCTACTTCTCTGTTACCACTGTTACCTGTCACACTCTGTTACCCATGTTTTAGTGTCTACATTTCGACTACCCTAAAGAAGGGGTAAATTCATAATTATCTGAGACTAAAGAAAAATAGACTCTGCTAAGTTATTTTTTTGCATTATAATACCTAGCAACCAGAATTAACTGGTATCTTCTACCTATAAAGGCTTATGGCCTCTTTACTCATATTTAGACTGCTTTTGAAAACTGGAAAAAAACTTAGACTTATCTAGTCCAAAACAACTAGGGTGGTAATAACCTTGCAGTCAAAATTTACAAAACTAATTAATACCACAGTTTCTGAAGTCTGGGTAAATCCTTTGAAGTAACTGCAAAAAGTAGCAAAAAATTTGTATTAAGCAGTTCTAATCTGGAAAACTGCTGGAAATCCACCAACATCTATACTGGAGGGGCATTGTTTTTATTATTGGAATTCATAAGATTGTGGACAATATGCAATTGTTCATGTAAGAGACTGACAAACTGGAAAATTTAATAACAGAATTAACTTGAAATGTGGTTTGAAAAGGTAACGTTCTTGGTCCTCTAAAGTATGTGTACCAATACAGTTCAGGGGGATGTATAAACTGACGTGTTTCTTCCACTGCTTTCCTCCTCTGCTTTCCCTGAATCTGTATGGATGCTGAAAATGGGTAGCATCTCCTCTGATGTCTAATCAGTAGTCTGAAATGAGGTGGTCTTCCACTCACAAGACTCACTTTTCTCCTAGTGTTTTGCTATATGCATTTAAAATCTACTCTTAGACAGTTGCAAGAATACAATACCTTGCTGTTGTCACCATGTTGTATAATAGATCTCATGAACTTATTCCTTCCATCTCAATAGATGTATTGCATCAAATGAAATGTGCTTTGAAGGTGACTGAAGTTTAAACATTTAAGAATAAACACACAATTTTTTATAAGTAAACTCTGAGTTTTTTGGGTTCCCCTTCATACGAACCAGGTGAATAATTAAACTAGTTACCAGTAATGCCCTATGCCTTCCGAAGCAAACGTAAGTTCAGTCACAAACCACCACTTGCCAACAGTTTACTCCATAGGATTC